GTATTACAGCACATAGAAGCCTTACGGACTTCAAAAATAATTGGAAGGAAAGCGGATAAGGTTTTGTTTAATATAAATATAATATTATTTTCAATTCTATTCTTTATACTCATATCTTCTAATCTGCTAAATTTAATGTTGCTATCAGAGTAAAACTAACAAAACTTATAGTGAAGCATGCCCACAACCTGTAAATGATTCAGTCACATCATGGGGCCAACCGATTTCAATATTTTACTACTTCTAGAGATCCATCTAAAATAATAGAAGGCCTACATTCGTATTACGATATTTCTACGTACTAACTCAATAATAAGATGACACGATTCAACAAGTGCCACAAGTATTTGTGGGATAAGCGGGTTAGTTTGTGCTGTGTCTGGGGATGGTTTGTCTGTGGTGTGTGTGTGTGTTTGGTATATGAGTGTGTTAGTCGGGCAGGATGAGTGGGGTTGTTATAATTGTTACTGTAATAGGTATTATTTATTACTATACATATTTTAACAACGAATGGCTACACTATTGTATTGGGTACATAACCTGTAAAAAGGTTGTATTGTGTGTCATAAATAAATAAAGTATTAGCAAAGCCATTGCCACTGTTGATAAAGTGTCCTACTAAAAACGTGGGATAAGCAGAACCGTCTAATCCGTCGATCAATAATAGACGTGACAAGCATCCTAATCACTCTATAGCTTTTCTTAGGAGCATGCATATGCCTTGATGTGCACAGTAATACGTAGTTAATGAGAAATTGATAGTGTAATAGGAATGTTAGAAGGATTTATTGTTTAACGTGAATATTTTATTAACTAGTTTTCGCTCGGGGCTGTGTTGTAACAGTACTTTTTCAGAAGAAAAGTATCCTATTTTCTTTTCTACAAATTTCATGATGATCGAACAAACAAACAAAAATTGATTTTGTTATTATAGTGTTAGGATTGTTGGGTATATTTAAAAAGTATAAAAGCTCATACTCAACAATTATTACTAGCTTACTTAACTTAGCATTAATGAACTAGCATATTGATTTAGTAAATGATTTATTTATTTATATCACCAGATTGTTGTCTTAATTTAGTTTAGAATCTTACCGGGATGAATTTCTAAGAGTACCCTTGTGAAAGCCTCCGTGGAAGCGAAGAAGAGGATCAATTTCTCAATTTGTCCAATCAATGGATAAATAAATGGTCATTCTCTATTACTAAAGTATATATCATATTGACAATTACAAAGGGTAATTACTTAATTGGACTTAGTCACTTTTTTTGTTTAACCTACATATAGAAAAAATGCATCGTCGGAAGCGACACTTCCTTAAAGCAAGAGTTTTGACAATAAAAAGCACTTAGGCATTTTTTTTTCGATATCCATGTGCTGACAAGTAATGTGTAATTAGCTGCCAATTGCTGATGACACGATTCCAAGATGTTGATAAGCTGTAAAGATCTACATTTTGTCAATATCTTAGAATCGTAACATATTCTCAGTTGCACTTTTTTTACTGCATCACGCTCTCACAGGACTGGTGAATGGTATACTACAATCTATTAGTTTTTGAACTGAATCCAACAAATCACTGTATTGTCGTTGCTGCATGATATCCAGCAGAGTAGATTGTACGTATGGGAGTCGCTGCTGTGCTGTCTCTGCCGGGATATCACAGCAATGACCCAAATACTATTTCTTTAGATTTATAACTACTAATATAAATCTAAGTATCACTAACACTAATGAGTGTAATAAAGAATTTGAAATAAAATTGGTGTTCGAACCCTACCCATCTTGAATCACCAGCGTGAATTCATTTTATGCACACACTTACGACACTTATTACTTTTTCCGTATTAAAATAAGCAGATATTGAAGAAAATTGTATTGTCCATGACACCGTGAAAATCACAGATAATGGTCGTGTATGAAAAGTATATTCTAAACATTAAAGAAATCGTAACTAAAATTTTTAGTGCCAACGGTTATGACATAACTATTGAAGACGAGTTTTCAAGTTAGGAGTTTGTCAATAGCGTGTCACTTGGTTATTTACATACTGTTATATAATAGACTGTAAGACAATTCGTTTTATCGAGGAGAATTCTTACAAAACAATTACATCGATGTCGATATTGAACAAAAAATTATAGTTTTAAAAAAAAACTAAAAACCACCTTTGCTATAGAAAACCAAACTAAAAAATAGAAAATAAATTTGTCGGTTACAAACATACAAACGAACATACAAGTGAAGCTAATATAAAGCTTGTAATAAGGGGTTAAGCCACAGACCAAATTGGTCGAATTCACAAAAGCCGACTTTACTAACTTCAGAGGTTATAAGGGAGATTTTCCTTCGCTGTAAAAGTAAGCGATTACTAGTTTCTCATTAAAATATTCTTATCTAAAAGTTTGAGATTCGTGAATGGGATTTATGCTCATACCGCGATTTTGTTTAACTACAACAGTGCTTAAATTATGTAAACTCCTATTTTATACTACTTTTAGGGACTGGGTTAAAATACATAACCTAGTTTACTTAACTCATTTCACGGGTAGATAAGCACTAAGTCTTAATATGTCGTAAAATAAAAAGCCGCTGTCATGTTTTGGAAGCATTATAAATATTGCATACGTATATACCAAAATAACCTCATTTTTTGCCTGAATTCCTAGGTAGAGGCGTTTTGTGTACCTTTTTTTTTTTTTTTTTTTTTTTTATTTTTTTTTTTCGTGCGGAAATCCCCTCGGATACCACCTGTCGGTGGCATGTCGGACCCGAACCGACTAAAACCGCACGCCTTCGCCGGGTACTAATTGCCGGGGAACCAGGTATACCCTAGAAAGGAAGGCCCTGGTGCAACGTTTTGTGTACCTAACCTACGCTAACTAAAAATTAAGTCAGCCAAAAAAATGGAAATTAATATAAGATTTTTGCTTTAATAAAATCGATTCCTGATAATATTATAGGATAAGATGAAATAATCTTAATTTTTAATATATGTAGAGATTTTACGATAAATAAAGATGTCTTAGAATTTTCATAATATTAAACATCAGTCGTTTATTATATAATAAGCTTATTTTATTGGCATGTGGAATCTAACTAGTTTTAAATTAGGGTGTCTTGTTTAAAAACCATGATTTTTCCGACATTTCTATCCCATTATCTATTTCATTTTAGAGTGTTAAAAAAAACGATTTGTAGAAGATGTGCTTCATCATAAAACCAGCATCATTTAAGTCTTTTAAATTATTTTTCTCACTGAACTTAATTTATTTTAATGCTAAGCATAACATGTCAACAATAAATAAATAAATGAAAATAAATAAAACTACAGTCAAGTAATCAGTCTAAATCCACTGCGTAGGTTAAAGCGTCGGACTTACGATCAAACGGTTGCTTGTTCAAACCCGTACCGTACGAACTGCGGTATCATACACCCACTCCTTATGCAAGAATTTAACTTAGTTGGAGTTAATTAGAATGGGTAAACTTTTGGCCAAATTTCATTATTATAGGTAATTGATAACTAACCCACATGTTTTGGTTTTCCTGGGACGTGTCAATCATAAATCAGTTAAAATATGAGACTTAAATAGGCGTATATTTTGATTGCGTCGACATAGAAGTTTAGTTATTTTGCAGTTAAAAAGGCTCCGCAGACTTAGCTGCAGAATTTGTTGTTAGTTGAATTTCAATTTGATACCTTTACACGTTCCTTTAAAAGTTTTTAGATAGATAGACGGACTGCCCCAAAGCTAAGTAATAAGGGTTACTTTATTGCTTTTGTTTTAATGGATTGTTTTTAACATGCTTATTAAAGATTAACGGTGTTAGTCATATGTGTATTTAATTAAATTAAATTGTAAAGGAACCGACGGGGGCTCTTTTTCAATGAGTAAAACGTTCTACCCCACATCCGAAGATAGGCAGAGGCTTCAACACCCACATTTCGCCAACGTCGCTAACCTATATGTATGTATGTAAGTCCAACTGCCTTTTGACGGGTTGTGCAAGTCCTCTAATTAAATTGAAAATATAATCATTTCTACAGCACTCGATAAGTGTTCAGTTTTAAGATTATTTTGTAAGCTCTCTAGTATCTAACATGGTCCTGTTTCTTTCATTTTAGTTTTAAATTAGATATAGTTTAAAAACTTTTTCGTCGTTGTTACTTCATCAGCTAATGATGTTGTAGAATATTTTTTTACTAAAATATGCTATAGATGCATTGGTAATATTGATTCATAGACAAATACTGCTGAATAAAATTATATATATTGAAATAGATAAACAATTAGCGAATGCATTGAGAGTGAGGAAACATAAACAAGTTTTTTTATACAATGGTATATATAAAATAAAACAATGTTATACATCTGAATGTAAGTGTTATATCATTGTTCACTTATACATACAAATGAAAAGATAAATCACGATTCTTTAGTACGTAATATTTAGAAGTGTATAGATATTGTTGTACAAGGTTACAAATCATTACTGAACTTCTGTCCACAGACGTCATGTCAAACCGTTGACCTAGTACACACATATGTACACTATATACACCCTTATAGTAGTGTATTTAATGCCCATAGTAGGATACATGGAGGAATCGTTGAATTGCCATGATAATGTTCAGGGTAAAAATTGTATTTTGTTTATTTAAATTAATGTATTGGGTTGATTTATTGGTAAGATGATGGTATAACATAAATCTGTGGTACTAATTAGTTACAGTACATATTAACTGAGTATTTATTTTAATTAAATTACCATACTTATATATTGGTTTGTTATATATATTGTGGCAGTTTTGGAAAGTTCTATGTAAGTATATTATGTTCTATAAATTCGAATCAATAAATAATAATAAATCCTTATACAAAAACGACGAATGCATTTAAAAAAAAAAGTTTTTTTATCGTGCAAAATGTTACAGATATTAACAATATATTCCGTAAATAAAATAGAATGCAGTAATAATAAATAGGCAACGTACCTTAAAAACATCTTGATTGCGCAAAAAAAAAACTTCTCCAAAACCGCTATGTCACTTGCAACACAAAATAAATCAGTTCATTTTAAATTAATTTAAATAAAGCAAACACGACCTCACGCCTCGAACGTCCAAGTCCTAATGATAACTCAATAAAAACAACCCTTCACACTTTACTTCACTAAATCTATATGATAATGTAACAATAAAATAAGTAATAAACTGCACGTGGTTAGCATTATTCAACACCCAGGCGAACTCACACGAGTTTTAATAATACACATAAAAAAACTATTATTATTCAAAACTAATGTTAGCACGTCAATTTATGCGTAAGCTTTTTATTAGAATGAGATTAAGGCTCGATCCTGAAGCTTCGATACTTCCGTGCGCCGGCGCACCGGGACAACGACTATAAAAAGCAACTAAGCCTCTCTTTCCCGCGAGCCTTATTTTCTTTTTTACCTTTGAAAAAACATGCGCCCGCGCCTTAACGAATCCCTACGCGTGGTGGGGACTGTTCCAATTTCAATTTTTTAAGAAATTTTTGTCTTGTCATTTTTAAAATGTACTAGAGCTGTAATTGGGAAAAAATATTCTTTTTAAGGTTTTATTTCGAGTATATCGTGCTGTAAGTGCGACAGAGATGAATAGAGATACGTAAGGCGCGTTTTTCCAGCATCACTCGTTGTTTCGCGCGAAAGAAATGGAATGAGTCGTTCGTTACTTGCTTTGCTTTAGATTAATGAGTTCGAAAGAGACGTAGATAATGGTGGGGTAATTACTGTTGTTTCGCGTAAACGAGACGGTACTATAATGATTGGGCGCAATGACAGTTATTGATATTGTCGTAATAAGCGTCGATTTGTGCTCGGTGAGATTTTCCTTATAGGTGGGGTGCGATGGAGCATCTCGATAGGTAATGTTAATTAGCATTTAATGACAGCTAGTTGAGGTTAGCTGTTTTTACGTCAACGAATGGCGTGTGCTTGCGTGTTATACTTAACAAGTACACGCTACAAAGAGGTTCAAATTGGTAATAATAATTTTAAAACAGTATTAATTAATTTAATTGTATTATATTAAGCATTTTTAATGTTTTTTTAACATTAGAGAGTGGGGAAAAGTTATAACACATACCTACCTACTTGTAAAAAGGAATCCAAGAGGATTAACTTTCTATTTACTAATATGTTAATAAATAATAGTGCTAAAATATTGTCTAGAAAAATTACTTAGATGAGGAGAACTTAAAATCATACAATTATGTGACGTAATGTATTGTATGTTAGTTTTTCTGCACTGCAGTTTTTCATGGTTCTAATAAATTTATAATTATTATAAAAGTATATACCAAGCACCGCTTACAACATGACTACGAAAGTTAAAGCAAAGTATATGTTAAACAAGGCCTTCTGAAACTTAATTTAAGCTTTCTTAATCTTTAAATTGCCTGATAAATTACAAGGTTGTATGGTATGAGTTTCCTCATTGACGTATTGAAATAAAGTCACATAGAATATGCAATGGCTACCAATTATTTTTACCTTTCTTCTTGGTCGGTTAACATTTTGAACAAATTGAATATATTGTGTATAAAAATGCCGAGATGAGTATTATGCCCACGGCGTTTGGCGGGTTACGCAGATAAGCACCGTAATCTTGCCATCGGCTCGCTAATGTGGGAACACTGACGCGGTAATTAAGATGTGTGTAGTTGAAAGAAGTATATTTTTTTTGCGGTTTGTACATTCTGTTTTTGAAACTTTTCATACGTTTGTAGCTTAACAAGTAAATAATATATTGAATTGTATTGAAATATATTTATACAAAAAGAAATAGATTTGATGCTGTAAATGGAGTTACTAAAATAACTACCCAATGGTGAACTTAGGGCCTAGAATGAGATAAGTATGACAATGGACATTATTTTCTTCAGGATTGCTTAATTTCTCTGTGATATAAGTTTAGCCACTACGATCCTACTCCCAACTCAATAGCCGTGCACTGCACTGTGTTGGAGGTGTCCATTGGCGGTGGTAATCACTTACCATCAGGTGATCTGTATACTTGTTTGTCTATTATAGCATAAACAGTAGAACAATTGCTGATTTAAGGTTTTTAAAATGTGATACTCACATTGTTGGCCCAAGCTATCATTTACTTATATAGCATTTAACGTTAACTAATAGTCTTATTGCCTGTTTATCACCTGGCAAATGAGCAACGCCATAATCAACTGCGAAATAAATAACACTGTACGGAGTGTGATACGCATTGATTTAGTAGTTGGTATATTTCAGTATCGTAATCGTTAATTTAAAAGGATACAAACTCTAATCTGTTGTGGAAACAAGCTCATAATTTTACACATCTTATTAAAATGTAAAAACTACTTAGCCGATACATAACTCAACTTTTATACTATATGCCTTCACTAGGTACATTCATGAAAGGCTCTCAGCACACAACCCCAGGTTATAAGCATTTACCTGAATACAAATAAGTGTATAATAAAAATAGGTATATATTAGTAAAAGCATTCATGTGTAGTGTGCTTAGTATTCAAGGATTAGTAGATACTCAAGTAAATGATCCTAGTATAATACTTGTTTTGTCATTATACTGATATTGTTTGATGGAGTATTTATTACATAATCTAAAACAAAGGACAGCCGCTGTTTTTATTACATACATAAATAATGTAATGTAATATAAATACACACGTATATCTAAATGGAAGTAAAGTTTAAATTTTTGTTTGTATTCCCAAAATTATGGCTTTTTACCGTATGTTACCAAAATGAAAACAATGGTTAACGGAAATAACCGGACTGATTTCCACCGCACTTTCATTAGCAGTTGATATTATAAAAAGTCATTTTTATTTTAGCCATTCTGCGTCGAGAAATATTGGTAGGAACGAGTGAGGCTGTTATGGGCCAGCTAGAATTGTTTGTTTACTGCTTAATCTTAGTATTCATATTTATTATCTTTATAATCTTATGTATGTATTCATATTTATATATGTATATAAGTGTATGAATATGTATTTGTGTATATGTGTGTGTAATTATTTAGGTGAATATTAGTAAATATATGGCAATTGTAAATGCGCACCACACGCTACATATTACTGTATAGTATAATACATCTAAAGGTTGCCTGGCAGAGATTGCAGACTGCGATAAGGCCATGCATTGTATCATTATTTTTGGTTTGTATTCCACATCAAATGTATACTAATTATCACATCAACAGCCTTTAATAGTCCATAGGCCTCTCCTTAGAAAGGAGGTTTTGGCCTACTATACCACGCTGGCCAGGCGGGTTGATATACGACACCCACGGGATGATTTGGGGTAGTGACATTCCGTATTCTTAATCCGTCACTACACGGATACTAATTATGGTGTGCAATAAAAAGTACCTATCTATCTATCTTAGATCTAACCTGCTAAACGGTTCAGTCCAACAAATCCTAACATTCAAGACCATAACTTTTCATTCTATAAATTCTTGAGTTAGTCAGTTAGCAGTTATTACCATTTTGACAGCTAAAGTACAAAAACGAGATTCGAAGATTTAGGGGGCCTCTACTAGGCCAAAACCTCCTTTTTAAGGAGAGGTTTATCTCCAGCAGCGGACTATTAGAGGCTGTTGATGATGATAGCGGGCCTGTTGGTCTAATGGTTAGTGACCGTGGGTTCGATTCTTACCCAGGATAAAAAATTGTGTGATTTGCACGATAATTTGTCCATCACCATCATCATGATTTTTTTCGATCATGTGCTCAGAAATAATTTATGTTTATTAGTAGCCTGATTACCATAGCACGGTACAGGCTCTACCTAGTTTGAGATTAGATTACCGTGTGTTAGATGTGTGAAGTTATTGTTAATTACATTTTAAAATACATACTGATTACATTTTTAAATATATTACGAATGAAAAAAAAAACATTTAAAAATATAAAAGTAGTAGATCACTGACATCGGGTGCAGGGACCAAGACACCGGTGGTATGGATTCCAAAGACAGGTGCCACCTCACTATACGGGATGTGTCAAGGAGAACTGCCTTCTGCATCAGACCCTTGATCCGTCTAACGTAGGCCTTTTAAGGTATTGATCGAGGCTCTTGGCTAACTTTTTCTTTTTCTTTTTTAACTTTCACGAGATTCTCGTCATGAGGAACACTAATATTATTATAAGTTTTACTGTCATTCTTAACCATATTCTTTGGATTATTGGTATTTACTACATTTTCCTTGAACTTCAAACACGGTGAAACTTGAAACTGAAATTAGCACTATTAAAATGATCTTAATTTGATTTATAGTGTATTCTGAAGTAATCTTAGTCATGGTCTTAATTACTCTGCATTTCTTTGTTTGCTACATTCATACACATTTCACTATAAGTATATCTAAAGTGTGTTGTAACGTGTAATATGCTGTATCTGTAAACAAATATTATTAGTCGCTATCAGTTCACACTATTTAGTAGTTCGAGAAAACTTTTTGAAGCGTGATTTGCTCCCCCTTTAAAAAAAGTCAATAAAGCAGCCGATTCAGTAGAACTATTTTAAACAATGTCCTTTTCATTTTCCCGCCGGAGTCTAAATATCTAATTCATACATAAATAATAGAGCGGCACGTAACGTCCGGCGCATTCGGCGGCCGGGAGTCGAGTGACATGGTGTCATTAGCGCGCGACTCACGCGCAGGTTAAACTGCGCCACGTGCTGCGTCTGCGCCGACAAACGGCCCGCGCACCCTTCCGACATATACAGGTTGTAGTAGTTTGTTTGACATGCAAGTTTGTTTACTTAGGAACGCTTTCAGTATAATTTGTTCAAGATATTATGTTATAAAGCGAGGTTGTGACATCTAAGGGTAATATATTCGTTAGAATTGGCATTCGTCCGTTAAAAATGTAAAATGACCTATGTTAAAAATGCTCGTAAGCCTCCTAAACCTTTTAAAAGGTTTTTTAAAGGATTTTCATTTTTTT